CGGGGGCCATCGCTACGAAGCTCGTAGTCATCCCATCCTATTCCATCAATCTAGCCCATAGATTTCACTGTTACAAAAACCTACCTTCTACCTTCTCTAAATCACAAATCGCATGGCTCAAACTGGAAACCAAGAGTGGCTTTTGTCGTGACCCGAATGTACAATGACCTGCTGCCCTGAATCAACCTCGACGATACAAGTGGCAAGACCCCTTTTGACAACGGTCTGAGATTTGAAAGATAATTATGGTGCCATTTTCCCCGGACCATTGAGTCCGTGCTGATCAAATTGTAAAAAAAAAAGAAGAAAAAAATATTTTTAGTTTTTTTTTTTCCTTTTTTTTTTTTGGCCCGGGGGGGGGGGGGGGGGGGGGGGCGTGGCATTGGCACGTAAACATTCGGAGTTTATCGGATAAATCCGAATTGACCAAAATATTACCGGCGGGTGTTTTTCGGAGTTTTTTTCGGATTTATCCGAAAACACGGAGTCCTAGAACTTATAACCAGTCGAGAGTTCACCAATGCGTTCTATGAATATCTTGTAGACCTAAGTGTTAGCGCTGGTGTTAACGCTGATGTAGCTAATGCTTGGAAACATGTTTGTCCCCATAACTGTAGTTGCATTTTTTTTTATACCAACTGATAGTTTGGAAATTCTTAATGTGATTACACACGTAAAGAACAGCGGGAGCTGTGATGCCGACGGCTTACAAATTCGCCCAGTCAAGTATGTAGTTGACTTAATTGCATCAGTGTTAAGTTATATTTTTAATCTGCCTTTGGAAACGTATGTGTTTCCCAAAAGAATGCAAATAGCAAAAGTAGCTGTTCTATATAAACAAGGTGACAAAAACGAGCTAGGTAACTATATGCCTATTTCTATACTGCCCGTTTTCTCTACAGCTTTGGAGAAAATACTTTATGAACGTCTAGTACATTTTTCGAATAAGTGGGACCTCGTAACTCCATCGCAGTTCGGTTTCAGGAAGAAATGTTCAACTGTAACTGCACTTCTTAATCAAAAAAGAGTATATTTCGGAAAATTTTGAGAACAAAAAATTGTTGTAGGGGTCTTTCTAGACTTTACAAAGGCGTTTGACTGCCTTAGTCATGTGGTCCTACTTAAAAACCTTGAAGCGTATGGCATCCGCGGACAAGCCTCGCTACTTTTACTGTCCTACCTGGACTATCGCCAACAGTATGTAAATATCAGGGGCTCCGGAAGTATATATCTAATAAAAACGTCGTCCTGTCTATTTTCTGTCCCTTGAGACGTCGTCCTGTCTATTTTCTGTCCGTTCTACGCTTTGATGCTTCTTCTCTACCCCAGTCTCAGGTTATTTCAACATGGTTAATATATCTAATGTGTGAGGGCGACGTCTGGGGGCTCATGTCGCATCGTGTAGTTCACTCCTCTCTCTCCCTCTCGCGGCCTCACGGGTGGTGAGAGGAGAGAAGAGGGGGGGGGGGGGGGGCGACTGCCCTCACTGCCCCCCGATTCCGGAGCCCCTGGTGAATATATACGGTTATTTATCCACTGTGAGGTTCATCACGTCAGCGGTCCCACAAGGGGGTATTTTGGGACATTTTCTATTTAATTTGTACATTAATGATATCGTTAACGTAAATAAGCACGCAAAATTTGTGATCTATGCGGATGATACGAGCGTATTTTTTTCTTCCGATACTTGCGACGATTTAATCGATATGGCAAATCTGACCTTATCAAAGATAAAAAGTTGGCTAGACAGTAAATCCTTTGAAAATCAATTTTCATAAAACAAAAGCTGTGATTTTTCGCCCAAAAAAACAAGCCCGTGGTGCTGTCTAAAGTACTCACTTTTAGCACTACTCCAATCGAAATTGTTAGTTGTTTTAAAACTCTTGGAGTCATTTTTAGTGAGGGTATGTCTTGGGATAACCATATAAATTATCTTATCCCAAAGCTAGCCCGAGTAGTGGGGATTATAAATCGATACAGATCTGTGTTACCAACAAATGTTAAATTATTGCTTTACAAATCATTATTTTTCTCCCACTTAACGTATTGCCACATTGTTTGGGGAACATCAACATTTACCCAACTTTGAAAAACTGTTTACGTTACAAAAGAAAATATTGAGATATATATGTAACGTGCCACGCGACTTTCACACCGCTGATTTATTTAAGAACTTTCAAATAATCACTATTCACAAGTTCTATCAGTATCGGCTTTCTACTAGTTATAAAAGTGAAAAAACAAGAGGTACATGTCTTTAGGAAAACTTTGCGTCGCTGAGGAAAACTTCTCCTCCATATCCTACCCGTAACCCAGAGAAATGGAAGATGGTCACGCAGCGAACAAATTATGGCTCTCAAATGATAAGTTCCATACACCTGAGCAGCAATAACATTGATCTAGAAAGTCTAACCTTTAGAGACTTGCGCTTATTATATGCTTGCACGTGATAGTTTTTTCTCTTAACATTTGCAAAAGGTGATTTTAGTTTTGTGCACTAATTTGTTACATCGTTGCATCTAGCACGCTTTTATGTTGCTTTTTGTTTGTCTTCCCGCACGCTTCCTGTTGTCCATTGTAGGGGCCCAGGGACTCGTCAAGCTGCTTACTGCAGCTTTTTTTCTTGGGCCCCACCATCATAAAGGATGGGAATAATATATATATATATATATATATATATATATATATATATATATATATATATATATATATATATATATATATATCAGTGTGTAGAACCGAAAAAAATACGGGTTCGGTTACGGTTCAGGTTCAGGTAAATTTACTGTGTTCCGGTTCGATTAATTCGATCCGCGAACCGGTTCGGAAATTATAAATGACAAATTGCAACATCAAAATAAATTACAAATAAAACATCTGAAATCAGCACATACGAAACGGGATACATCGTAGTGTAAGGCTCAGGGATTTCTACCAGGAATGGTTTCTTTATGTGCACTCAAAGGTTACCTCACCGACGTTTACGCATTCGGACTTCATCTAATTGGGTCCGACGCACTAGCTGTAAAATCCGCGACCTCCTTACAAACCCACTTACAAGTAGAACTCGCTAACTATCCCGCCACCTCGGCGTGTAAGCAATTGAAGGAACAGTGGGGAGAAAATACAGCTTTCTTTATTTGAACTAGCCTTCGGTAACTCAAATTAGACCCTTAAAGAAGTTTTCATTAAACAAGATACGGAATATGAAAAACACTTCACCGAACGCAACGCCAGAAGGACGTAATAGGATAAATATTAAAATAGAAGAGTTCGCTGTCTCACAAATATGTTAGTTTTAAGTGCCTATACGAAACCGGATGCATTATTATCAAACTCCACAGCCTTTTCTTTTCTCATTCCGATGGAAGCAAGCTTCAAGAACTCGCGCGTTCTAGAAACGTGTTATGAAATGAGCACACAGCAGCATTTAGGATTTACGAGATTGTAGGAAAATGAAATCCCGTGACGCGATTTTTTTTTTTTTTTTTTTTTTTTTTGCACAGCCTTCCAATTTTTTTCCGTGCAAGCCGCGACCAGCGCAATAGTGGTTCCTATGTCAAGATTCATGGATGCAGCGTTTGTCAAGATTCATGGATGCGGCGTTTATATTCCTAAGACTGAGTGGAGAAGAAAAATATGTAAGCGAGGTGTGTGTCAGTTGACGGCACTTAAAAAACAAATGGCATTGATAGCACATTCATTGTCAACAGCGCGTGGCCGAACCGTTTTGACATGAGCCGGTAACCGTTATTTTTTTTCCGGTTCAGTTCCGGTTCGGGTTCATCGCGATAACAATATAACGGTTCGGGTTCGGGTTCAGTTCCGGAAAAAATACCGGTTCGGTTCCGGTTTTCGGTTCGGTTCGGTTCCGGTTCGACACCCTGATATATATATATATATATATAGCAACTTTGGACACCCCCGCAACGACCGGATGAGAGTGTTGGGAGGCTGTTAGTCTGTTGTAATGTTCTTCACTTTACACGAGCTTAGTGGCACTGGTGGGACCCAACTATATTTGCACGAACGCCGCTGACCAAAAAAATCCTTTGTTGCGGTGTCATTTCAAGGACAAAAGCGAGCGTTTTCTTTCAATTTCTCATTCGCAAAACCTGATGAGGTAGCTGGGGGGTCGCCTCCAGTGACGATATTTGAAGGCGGCTCATAGATTGAACCCGAGCATTGCGTCAGCACTCGATTTGGGATCGTGATAATTGATAGCTCGACAAGACCGCCCCCAATCGCCGCAATGACAAAAATGCCGAACCTTAACAACGTGTGGAACTCAGCTGGTGACCTGTGCTTTGCAAACCCCAGCGCGTGGCTATGAAAAACATGCTCCAGATTATGTGGCCGCTTGACCTGGCTGCTAGTTGGGGGGAGGGGGGGGGGAGGAGGAGGAGGAGGGGGGTGAAGCTATTTTTTTTTCTGCAGCTATTATTGTTTGTGCGGGGAGAAAAACTAAAGCATGTTTCATAAGTTATAAACGTGACGGATTCATTCTAAGCGATATTTGAGCAATGTACAAACACTACTAGGCCCAAGCTTATGTAAAAACAGAATCCAAGTCACGCAAAACTCTGTCGGTTTATCGAAAAAGACAATTACAGTTTCAAGGGTTCACCACGGACACTTCAGGTGCCTTTGATATCGAAAAATATCTGGCAAAGAACGCCATGAATGTTGACACACCTTTCTCGGAAAATTGGCACGCACTCTTGCCAGGAGTTCTCCATGGCTGCGCATCTCACGCATTCAAAGGCACGGCGCTGGACCTCTGCAAAACCTTCTCTGCACGGACAAACGGGTCAGGAAAGCTCTAAACCTAATGGCGCGGAGGGTTGTAGAGTGGCGGCAAGTGGATGGACACTTGGCGCTACTTTACAACGACGCCCCGCAAAGCTCTGCGAGGAAACCTGTCTCTTTCAAAGAGATAGGCGGCCGAAACGAACAATGCGAACAATGCGCGACGTGGGAGTGCACCGAGCGTCTCCTGCAGAGAGCCCGCGCCGTGTGCCAGCCGGGTAACGCGCAGCATCCATCCGGGATCGATGCGGAAGCGTTTCTCCGGAGGTCCGGCCGGCGCTGAGAGCCCCGGTGTGGCAGCCCGGTGTCCCGGTGTTGCAGCCCGGCGGCTATTTTGAGGGCGGTCCCAAGCCGAGGCCCGCTTGGCTGGGGCCCAGCTGCAGCTTGGGGGCGCCCAGGCGGCCCGATTTGGGCAGCGTCGCCCAGCGCAGGCAGGCTGCACAGCAAGAGGATGTCGTCGAGGAGCCCGTCGCCACGGGCGGCCCGGCGGCCCGCGTTCCTCAGCCAGCCGTCGGTCATCAGCTGGCAATCGGACCCGTCCCGGCCGCCCCAATACCTCATCCTCAATCCTATGCACATTGTCAACCTGACGGCGGACAAGACCAAGAGTTGTGCAGTGCGCGTGGCCCAGAGCATCAAAGCCTTCAGTCAGCGCTGGTTCTCGCACATCCTGCTGCTCCTGGTCCTCCTCGCCTACGCAGCCATGGGTGCCGCGCTGTTCCAGCTCATCGAAGGCCCCTTCGAGGACAAGCAGAAGCAGACGATCGTGAACGCGCGCCAGTACATCATCGAGGATTTGGTGCTCGCCCAGCGCACCCTCTCCGTGGCCGGATTCCGGAGGCACGCGCTGCGTCGGCTGCGGGAGTTCGAGACGCAAGTGCGCGTGCTGGAGGATGAGGCTCGCGTGCTGAGTCACTCGGAGAAAAAGATATGGTCCTTCTGGGGCGCGCTCTTCTACTGCGGCACCGTGTTCACCACCATCGGTGAGTGGACGCCTCGGTGAGTCGCCGCGGCTGACGGCGCCTCCATCCCGACAGGCTACGGCAACATCGCGCCCAGCACGGTGACTGGCATGGCAGCCACCGTGCTGTACGCCTTCGTGGGCATCCCCTTGCTGCTCATGGTGCTCGCCGACCTGGGCAAGCTCTTCACCAGGGCCATCAAGTGGGTCTTTCTGTCCGTGCGCCAGCTGTTCCGCACGGGTCGTTGCGGCAAGCACAGGTCCAAAGCACCACCCCCGCAGGTCAGACCCTCGCTCTTTGGGTCGCGTCCGCGTGCTGAGCGTCTTTCTTTTTGCAGCTGCAGTACGTGGCGTTCGTGTGGCGCAAAGTGAACGACACCATGGCATACGTGCCGTACCCGGCCTACCTCAAGGCCGAGCCCACCACCCCGACCTCGGAGGAGCCCGGCGAAGAGACCAGCAAGGCGACCAGCGAAGAGGAGCTCGTCATCGACGATGAGTTCAACCTGCCAGTATCCTTGGCCCTGCTCTTGCTCTCCATCTACATGACGGTGGGTGCCTGCGTGTTCACCATTTGGGAGTCATGGACCTTCTTTGAGGCTTTCTACTTCGTCTTCATTTCGATGAGCACCATCGGGTTTGGCGACTTTGTGCCAGACCATCCCATGTTCATGATGGCCACCTTCATCTACCTTCTCTTTGGCCTGGCGCTTACCTCGATGTGCATCAATGTGGTTCAGGAAAAGTTGTCCGCCATCTTCGACAGGGCAAAGATGCAGCTCGGCACCACCATCGGCTTTGACGCCATGATGATTGACCAGGAACGAAAGGAGCCGCTGGAAGGCGATGTCAAAGAGGCCGTCGCCAAGGATGCTATAGCCAAAGGGGCCATCATCAAGGAGCTGACCTCAAAAGACGCTGTTGCTAAGGACGCTTCCGCTAAAGATGCCGCCGCTCAAAACGCCGCTAAGAAGGATGCTGCAACCGTAAAAGGGAAAAACAAGGAACAGACCTGACCAGGACGAGTGTTTCTGGTTTGGAATAAAGTGTTCGCGTAAGTAAACGGAATGCGCCGCCATTTGTATGCAGAATTGTGCTGTCTTCAAATGACGTGCGTCGGCAGTGTTTGCCCCTCGAAGTGGAAGAAATATTGTTCAAACTTTGAAGCGAGTGCGTTAGGAGGGATGGCCTACGACTTGAATGGGAAGGGTCAAACAGACTATAAGAGCGGTCGAACAACTATCTTGCGGGGCTGTGAGGCGGCCAGTAAGCTTCACCGACGCGTATGTGCATAGCACGATTGCCTTCCTGTCGCTTTTCAACGTGACATTTATGACGAACCGGGGTATGTCCGCACGAAACAAAATGAGCAAGGACCCCATTCATACGTTAGCCTTGCCTTTCTTTGACTTCCAATAAGATCTTGACTTGTTTTATTGTAAGCACAACCAGCCTTGGGCAACAGTGCGCTGTATATGCTCACGCCGCGTTTTAAAACCAACACGGATATTGAAATACTTGTGATATGACGAAATTCCAAGAGGCCCGCCCTCCGCTCAAGCGCAACCCATGTTGCCCAACCTGGGAGTACTTTTTTTTCAGCGCACGAAACAGGTCACATATAAACAGTTCTCTCGTCACGTGTGCCTTGTTAATACGGCTCATGGACAACGTTTCGGGAAACAAGCATTACCTCGAAACGTGGGAGCTCCAGCATTGATGCACGGACAACTTAAGCAGTGAATTCTCCGTTCTTGCTACTATTCTGGGCACGACTTTTCTCGCGGCCTGTCCTCTCGGGCTCCGTTTTCATCAGCTTCTTGCAGTTCGCGGCATCGCTTCCCCGTGGGAACCGGTGCCGCTCTTATCAGGTGTCTGAGGAAAGGTGTTTCGGATGACGGAGCGTTCGCAGTCACCCATCCCTTGAGAACGTTGAAATGCAATATTTTATGTGTACCGGCCTCTGGCCGGGAAATACATGTTTAGTTTTCTCTTTCAATACTCTGCTATACTAGTAGAGTTCTTTTTTTTTTTTTTTTTAATATCGCGGTCACTTCGAAGCTCGAAGCAACCAGGAGAAGTTATCCGCAATGCGACTTTGTACAGACGGCCTCACCGGCTCTTAATTAATTCGCGACAGGTTTCTGCCGAGATTCGCCTCGTCGTTTTCCGCGCCATGAGTCTGCTTTTCAGACACGAAAACATTGAGACTGTTCGACATACTGCCCAAACATGGTGGTGCAATTATGCCTGTGTCCATATAAAGTGCATCTACACTTCCACGGCTATGGCCTTCTCTTTTTGCCGTTTTGTATTACTTGGTCTTCTGTGTCGTGTTAATTAAGGCATTAGGATACATTACTTAGGAAATGTAATAATTTAGTTCTCGTTACAGGTATATCTTCATGCCAGGGTAATCAAAGGAAACTGGAATTACAACTGGCACCAGAATTATGTATTCCTTTTAGAAAAAAAAAAAGCGCTCACTTTACGCTTCTTTGAGAGCTATCGGACTTCAGTGGCGTTGATATGACAACATTTTTGCGAACGTGTAACGTCATTCCTATGGTTTTATAGATACGTTTGAAAAGACTGGTCAATATTTTTAATTCATTTGATATTTTATATGAGATTGCCTGGTGCTTAGTATAAAGGAATTCACAATTATTTTAGCCTTCCCCCACCAAACAAAATTATAAATAAATAAATATATATATATATATATATATATATATAAGTAGTCGAGGGAAGGGACCTTTGTGTCTCGTTATACCAAAGGGCGTTGTTCTAACATTCGGAGCTGCGCTACACGAGTTTTTGTGATCGCGTGCACGGGCACAATGGCGATTTCACTGTAGACTGCAAACCAGAGCGAAAGCGAACATCGATTTTCGTCAAACTCGGCAAATGTAAAACAGAGGCCTCTAAAATCTTTCAGCAGGCTTGTGTAAAAACAAAAAACAAAAAAAAAGCAGTGAATTTTACGAAGTGTTTTAAATGCCACTGGCGCTTCAGGAACGATAAAACGTCGCTGGAAGACGAAGAGCGGTAGGGCGACCTCATTCGACCTCTCCTTGACTTTAGTGACGTTCTGCCATTCTTGAGGTACGTGCGCCACTTAAAGCACCTCGCACACCTCACTGTTTTTTGACATAAGTCTACTAAATCGTTTCTGTGGATTCTGTTTTAGATTTGACGAGTTTGACGTAAAATTGATGTTTGCTCTCTCTTTGGTTGGCAGTCTATGGAGAGGTGGCCATGATACTCGTGCATGTGGTCAAACAAACTCGTGTAGCGCAGCTCCAAATGTTCACAGAGCGACACCATTTGGTATAACGACACATTTACGGGCACCGCCGGTGTGGTCATAATATCGGTGATAACATTAGAATAAGCCTAAGAATGCTTTGAACCAATGTATGGGTGCAGGTAAGTGGTAAAATTAGAAATAATTTTAGGGGCGAGGCTCCTTAGGGCCTAGCCTTGTCCGGCGTCCGTGCTCACATCGATTACCATCCCATCTGTCTTCTTAAAAAAAGAAAATAATGTTTGCGCAGTCGACAGGATTCGAACCTGTGTGGGGAGACCCCAATGGATTTCTAGTCCATCGACTCGGCCACGACTGCGGGACGAGATCACAGAACCTTGCGGTGTCCCGCCTAATAACGTGGACGTGCGCGTCGTTGACTGACTATAAGACGGCATTCAAAATGTAACTCCCACTCTGACACGCTATCGAGATTGCTATCCGAGGATATTCGTTTTCCGTGTTCGGAGATGGGCTTGTTCTTTGGTGCCGAGAAGACGTTCCCCCGTTATGCGGCCGCGGGCACCCACCCGCTGGCACAGATCGGTGTTGTTGAATAAAAAAATCCTTCACCAGCGGAAGGACATCGTATATCTGACGAACATATGTTGCTGCTGTGTTTTCCGAAATACATGTACTCGTACAGAACTTTTCATACTTTCTTTCTCTTCCATTTCGGAGCGCAAAAAGAGGACAGCCTGCCTTTAGGCATGATTCGACGCCGCGGAATCAATTCCCCAGCGTCATCAGTTCCGTAATCTCACAGTGTCTCTTCAAGATTGTTTTTCAATTGTTTTTACCTCTTTACATAGTTTTACAGTGGCTAGGTGTATCAGCTAGAATGCGCAAACGGCGACCAGGCGGTACAAACCACGCTGTCGCACGACTACCGTGCGTACTTTGGGGAGGGTATCTTTACTCGTTGCCTGCTAGACCGCCTGGTCTGTACTGACTGCCTGGTCACCGTTTACGCATTCCAGCTCATTTCGGTAGCCACTGTACATACATGTGCCACCTCCTTCGTGCAAAATTAATACATGTTTTTCTCGAAGGTCTGTCGATGCCCATTACTTAATAATGTATAATACTAGCAGGAAACGTCTCAGCACTACATAAAACTTATTCATAAAAAAAAAAAAACTATTTACAACGTTTGTATATATACAGATTTAATGTACGTACATGTCGCTAAATCAGCATCTAAACGCATTAAGACGTTGTGAAGGAACTCGTCCAAGTTGAAGGGAACTGTTGCACAAGCATTCCTCCAGTTCCTTAATGCTGTTGTCTTTCTCGGACTGTTTTTTGAGTCGTTTGCGAGTCCGGCAGTTGCTGGAAAGTTACAATAGCGATGCTCGGCTTCTCGCCTCATTTTTCTTGAGATCTACATGGCGAAGATGCATGGGTGCGCTTTCCCAAGCACGTGGTTTGTCTTCCTGCAATGAAAAATTGAATTTATTTATTTATTTTTTTTTTTTTTTTGTCTCCGCAGCGATGGTTTAGGTAGGGCGCCATCTTTGTCCCTCTGCGTCTGAACTACCTCCAGGGAAGCCTAGTTCATTGCTGGCGAGTGTGGCGTTCAATTCCATCAGCCCCGAACTACTTCACGAATTGGAAACATCTACTTAATCCCCAGGCCTTTTTATGACCCTCCTTCTCTTCTCTTCCTTTACTTCACGCATCAACTGCATAGACTCGAAAGGGATAGTGATGAAGCCAGGGAACAACGTCGGTCGAAAGCGCGCAAAAGGATTGTGGGACGGCTGTAGTGAGGACGGCGCTTTTGGCACGCAGGGACGAGATGGGTTCATTGGTTGCTGGGTTTTCGAGACGCGGGGCTAATGACATGGGGCGTTTGCGACGGGTGTTTTACGCCCCCCTGAATCACCCTGAACAACTGTTCCGACCACAGGGATTAAAAATATGGGCTAATGTCTATGAAAAAAGAAATCATGATACGAATATTATGTACTTTTTTAAATAATAAATAGATAGGTTTATATTATTTGAATTAAAATAATTTGGTTTAAGAGGGCGCGCGAACCTCTCTTTTTTCGCCCGTTTCAGACCGCAGATGACGCGCGGATTGTTACGTAGTTGACGCGAGATCCTTAGATGGCGGCAGTATCGGGGTGTGAAAGGCCGCAGGCCCGCGTCATCTGAGACGCTAAATAGATCCCCAGCGTGTCGTCGTGCGGATCCTCTCGCGCAAGTGTCTCGATGGCGCGTGCCTCGATGGCGCTCGGCATGTCATCAGCTGTGATTACTGAGGGACGTTGGTGATTCGCTCGGTGGCCGGCACCGGCCGCTGTACTGTGCGGTTGCGTAGGGGGTGGAGCTTGTATAAACTCGGAGGTAGGATGCGTCTCTGTCTGTGTTAGTGTAAAGCCATCTTTTCCTTGTATCTAGTGCCACCTAGCAGATACCAAGATTATTGAGCAGTAAAATGTCACCACTCAAGACTGTCACGTGTGTATTAGGACGTGCACTATTGAAAAAACCAGCACAGGCGGGTCCTATCCCAGGCGGGTCCCATCCCAGCTTCATGCTGGGTTATTGCTACAGTATGTCCAACTTGCCGTGATAGTCCCAGTACAAGCTGGTCCCAGCATCCCAGCTTCATGCTGGGTTATTGCTCCAGCATGCCCAGCTTGCTAACACATCCTCTGCGCTGACACAGTACTAACTGACGCACAGACAGTGGTTCTCGGTGCAAAACAAACATTAAAACTTGATTGCTTATCTCTCAACACGAAAAATA